ATTTCCCACTCCCACGGCGACTCTCAGCCCGATTTCGCTATGATCAAAAAGAAAGCCACAACGGGCAAAACGGTGCACCTGAAAGCCCTCCCCTTCTTGTATCAGTTCGCCCTCAAAGCCGCTGGAGGAAGAGATCCGTTTCTTTTGAACGAAACGGAGAGTTTCGTTCGACTCCACTCTCCAAGCACACGATCCCTCGGCCACGAGTTTTGGGAGAAAGTGGTGGCTGATGCGAAAGGGGCGAACCAGGTCGTCCGTTTCAGACATGCCATGGTCACTTGCATTGCAATATAGCTTTTGTTTTATAAGGACATAGAAAATGATTCATCTTCCGAGGTGTTTTTTCATTGGTTTGTTGAGGTCAAGCTTGCATACTGCAAGGAAGCGGTGGGGCCGAGTGAGTGCAAGAAAATGCTGCACAAAGACTCGTGGTCCTCTGTGAAGGAGGCAGACAGCATCATGAACACATGGCGAAAGTTGGTGACGGCCCTGCCGAATGGGCAAGAGCTTCTCATGATTCCTGAAGTTCAGACATGCATGTCGTATGGCGACATGTCGATGGCGGCATACACTCTGAACGTGACCTTGCCAGGAGAGGATATCAAGAAGTACAAGACATGCCAGTCTCTTGCACATGATCTGGTGCTCATCTTGGAAGGGATCTTGAACCAGGACCTGCAGTCCCCATGGTCAGCACACCAGCTCACAGAGTCGCAGGGTTCATCACAGTCAAAAGATGTTGGATCCCAGAGGCCCGCAATCATGCGAGAGCTTAGCTCGGATGGCTCAGTCAAGGATTCGGCGCTGATGCTCAAGGAAGCCGGTTTTGCTGTCGGGCAGCATGTTCGCCGAAAGGCAGATCAGGAGACGGGCATGTTGATGGCCATGGAACAGGGTCGTGTGAAGTTGAAGCAGCCATCGGGATCCATAGTGCGGGTGTCGATCGATAGCTTCCTTGCAGGGCACTGGCAGGTGTTCACTCCGAAGCCGGAGCCCCAGACCGTCGAGGACTTGTCATTGTACTCGCCAGCGAACTTCCCCGAATACGAACGACAGATGCTGTTGGCATGCTTGTACATGGACATGCATGAGCTCATGCAAAAGCACGAAACGAATCCCATGCTGCAGAAGCTGAAGGTGACTTTGAAGCCTCGTAAGTCAGTCGAAGCCACGGCATTCATCCCGAGAAACAAGCTCATCATGGTCCCCGTGGGTTTGTCCATCAAGCACGGTCAGAAGAAGCCCGAGGATACGATTTTCGAGATCATCACCCCCATGAGTGACTACTTCTTCTGGATTGTTTCGTTCATTCAGATTCCGAAAGCCGAGGGGGATGCTGGCTTCATCAATCCTGCATTCCTTGTTCAGCCCCTTCCGCGAGTGATACTTGGAATTGCGAGTTTTCGCATGTGAAGTCCACTCGGGACAAGAAGGTTCAGCTCCCCATCCTCAAGAACACTTTGGACTTGCAGCAGGACGATGTGCTGTACATGCCAAAGCCGGAGAAGACTGTGCACGAGGCAAACCCGACAAAGAAGAATCAGGAGCTGATCTTGTATCCTTCGGGGCAGCAAAGGAAGGACGAGGCAGCGCGTCCGCAAAGTCACGAAGAACCGGTTTCTCAGCCGATGCCCGAGCCCCAGGAGGAAGTGAAGAGGCCGCCTGTAAAGGAGAAGTAGCCTGCGACACATCCTGTAAAGCATCAAAGTCCAGGGCACGAGCCGGGTCACAAAGCTGTGGCTGTATCATGGACCAAGAGCGAAAGGAAATCGGCGATTCACTCTGCAAAGAAGAAGGCTCCGGCGCCGAGACCGCAGCATCGTCAGAGGAACAATCAGCTTGCACTGGTAGACCTGACGGCGGCGGCTGCTTCCGAAATCTCTTGACTACCACTCTAGAATCATCTAAAGGAGGTTGCGGGTCATCCTCGCAGACCTCCGCGGCCTCGGCGACCTCGCGACGAACCTGTGCAGCAAAGCGAATGGCCTGGAGCTCGTTCACAAAGAACGACATACTCGAGCACAAAGAAGCACCGCCTCAAGGAGCAGTACCTAAAAGGAACTGCCGAATACGTTGCACGAAACCTTCCAGCCAAGACAATCGCAAAGAAAGGTTACGCTGTTCCGTTTGCACAGAAGACAAAGTAGAGCCAACTCCAGAAGAACCTTCTTCCAGGTCCCGAATGCGCTCTTCGAGGTAAAGTACTCGCTGCTGCAGAATTGTGTGTGAATGTTGCAAATTGTGCAAATGCGCGGACAACACTTCGAAGCTGGAAGTACTGGAGTTGGCTGAGGCAGCAGGCGAGTCCATCAAAGAAGGAAAGCTAGAGGCAAAAGCTCTAAAGCACTATGTCAAACTGCAAAGTATATAAAACTGTGCAAGCAAATTGAAGCATGCCCTTGATGGAAAAGAATGCGAAGCTGAAGCTATGCATACGCGAAAGCTAGGCGGCTTGGCTGTTGTTTGGGCCGAGCATGAAAGCATGGACTTTGCAACGAAAGTAAAACAATAGTGAGTGAACACACATACCACCTAACGACTTCGCCCCTGCTCTACGGTCTGCCCTCTACGTGGGTGTGGCAACCACGACCCCCAGCTGAAAAGGCGTGGCAACCACAGCACTTTTCTCAGACCCCAGGGAGTGGAGGTGTGGCACCCACACCAGTAGTGGCAGCAGTAGGTGCACTGGAGCGAAACTCTTAGCCGGCTGGTGGCTGTAGCCAGCAACAGAGGTTGGGTAGTACCTGGGCGTGGCAGCCACAACTCCAGGTCCCAGCTTTTAGCAGCCACTGTTGAAGGACGTGGCCAAAGCACCAGTGTGCACTGCACAGCCCTGCGACTGCAGGACCTGCCGGTACGACGGTGCTTCCGCCGAGAAAGCCGCAAACCTCTTAGGATAGTGATTCCTGAGGCCCGACCATATCTTGTTTAGGACTGGCTCCGTCTCCGGGCAGGCATTGTAGGCAAGCCGCAGCAGACCCGAGAAGCCTTTCTTGCGCTGGGCCCCTGCTTGGTACCAGTCCTGCGTGTCCACCAAAAAGAGGCGAGGTGGAAAGGAAATCGCCGGGTTGACAGCGAGATTGCTTGGCCCGATATCACATATCGAGACCCCCTTGCTCTCAACCCATGTCATCACCGCCCCCACGTAGAAGAGGAACTCGCGGATCTGGTCCTTGGGAGTCCTTGGTCATGTTCTTGAACCGTTCAATGGCCAGCTCGCTTCTCCTCTGTACGAGGCCGAAAAAGGGGATGACGGCATTCCCTGCACCGTCGTGCATCGAGACATACACTTTGCCCTCCCACACCACCTCAGCAGTGATGGAAGGGAACATCCTGGACATCAGGGCCTCGTTACCGTGGGCCTCATCTGCCAGCTTGATGACGAATTTGTCGTTGTAGGTATAAACCACTCTCCAGTTTCCTTTTCCAACCATCGTCAGCCTCCTTGGAGGCTTGATAACGGCATTGGAGAAAACATCCTTCAGCAGGAAAGCTTCCTGTGACAACCAATGCCTTGCCGACTTTGGGTGTCGCTGATTGGCCTGCCTCACGCAGACAAAGTGAGGCTCCATTTCCGGTTCTTCGGACTTTATGGGCACAGCACGGGCCCATTGTTCCATAAGCTTGGTCAGCGTCTGGTCTTCCAGGAGCTCCATTTCCAGGGAACCAGCTGACGACACTTCGGAGTCCGAGGTTTCATCCTCTGCTGTGGCACCGGAGCGGGCAGCCCCAGTGCCGGTGCCTTCTTCTTCAATTTCTGGCTTTGAGGCTGCACCCTCAGCTGCTGCTTCTGCAGTGGTTGCGCTGGCAGCAGCAGCTTCCATTGAGCCCTGGCCAGAGGAGGCAGCCTCCGTTCTGGCTTTGTCGCGCCCTTTGGACTTAGCTGCTGCTCCAGGAACGGGCCGTAACGGGGGAGGCATCCTCACCACCGTCCGAGCAGCGCGGGCGCCGCCCCTCGCTCCAGGGCCTTCCACCAGTCGTATAGGCTGAGCCCTCCTAGGGGCTGGAGGCGGCGGTGGGGTGCGAGACACCGCTCTTCACGGTGCTGACTTAGCCTTTGCCTCAGCTCTTTCATGCTGATGGGTCTCGGTTGCGATTCCTAGTCGCCGCCGTGCGGCTTATGTGTGGCAGTCCTTGCCGCCTTCGATGAGCCATAAGCGCCTGGTACTCAGCCTCCGGGATCCTTAGGGAGAGCAAAGGCGCAAAGCTCCATGCCGATGTATTTGGGCCCCTGCATGGTGCCCCAGTCTTTGAACCTGCAGACAGGGGAGCCACCCTCCTCTCATGTGGGCACATGTGCCCCTGCCTGTGGTCACACGGCCGAAGAAAGACCCCCCAAACTGAAAAACAGCTGCAGAAAAAGACCCAGAGTGAACGTGCAGTGAAAATTGCGATGCCAGCATGCCAGCCTAACAAGCAAGAGTGAAGTGCTTGCAAACTAGCAACAGGACCGGCTGCTCACATCCTAGCTGCTTTTGCAAAGGCCTGCGCCAAAGAACTCTTGGCAGTAGCGTCGGCGTTTGCTTTACCCTGGGGCCCTGCTTGGTTTTTGGCCTTGGGCTTAGCTTTGGCCTTGGGTGGCTTCTTGGCAGCAGGTCTAACAGGGGCTGAAGCTCTGGGGCCGTGCTGAGTAAGATGCCTCGCAGGGGAGGCACCCTCACCATTGCTCGGCTCGTTGGGTGGCGCTGCGCCGGCGGCCTTGCTGACCTCTTTAGCGCTTGCGCTGCTCGGTGCAGCCTGCTCCGGTGCAACCGCCGGCTGCGGGGCTGCTGCCTTGAAAAGGGCTGCAGGGACTGTGGTTTCCCGAAGGTATTTCTGAGCCCACTCAGTCTTCTTTTTCTTGTGGGCCCTGGTTGCGCCTTCGCAGTCCTCGCGTAGCACCTTAGTAAGGGTGAGTTGAGCTGGCTTGTGCACTGCAAAGCACCTGGTGCACAGCAGGACCGTGCCCATATTGTACATGGAATGTGCGGGGTTAAAGCCAAAAAGGCTGAGGTCCTCGCGCGGTCGGTGGGCACAAGGCTGTGCTGCCAAGCGGTCAAAGCACTCGTTAGAATGAACTTGTTGAATGTAAAGGGTACAGATTGAGCACTTCAAGGAGTGGTTGGTCGCATTGGTGTGCGACCAAGCGAATCGGTGGCCGTGCAGATGCTCACCGGCAAGAAGTTGCTCAAGTCTCTGCTTCTTATTGAGTCCTCCATCCGGGGCTGGTCGGTTTTGCCTCTGCGGTGGTGCCGGCGAGCCCTCGCGGAGTGCTTGCCAGGCTTTCTGAGCCAGCTTTTTCGGGGAAGGTTTCTTGGCTTGAGGTCAAGGGGAGGAGCCTCCTCCCCAGCAAGGAGGGTCCACGTACGCCGCGCCAGGAAATGCGAGATCTCCTCGGTGAGCTCATCGACTTGGGCAACAGTCTCTGCATGTTGCCGCCACGGCACGACAGCAGCGGCTGCTTTGCACGCCTCGTCCGCCATGTCGTTGAGGCGGACTCTCCAATGCTTAGGGTCCCCATGTCGCTGTTGATATTCCTCTGGAGGCCTACGCGACGGATGCCACGTAATCTGGACGCGTTGCCGGTCCTCCCAGACTTCCTCCCAGATGTTTGCGTGGCTGGGTCTGAAGGCAAAACATTCGGCCTGCGTGATGGCAGGTTTACAATCCACGGTGACTGCAGCCTCGCCCTTGGCGTAGCGCAAAAGGAGGGCCAGTGCCCACGCTTCACCCTGCACCACGTTGCAACCTGCTGGGAGGATTTGTGTGATCCGACCCCGCTCGGTCAGGACACCCCCCTCTAAAGTGCAGGCAACGACCGCCGCAGCCACCACGCGTGTGCGGGGGTCTTTGGAGGTGCCTGTGGCATCCGTGCCAAAGACTAGGCGGGTGGCAGCCACACAGCTGTTGCCATTCCACACGTGAAGACAGGCTGGAGAGCCTCTTCAGGCCATTGCAGGCAAGCTGTGTAGGAGAGCGGGGGCAGGCCCCGGACCCACAGGCATTCCGCCGGCCAGGAGCTGCGTAGCTTCTGCCAGTGTGGAGGGGGGGCAGGCCCACGTCCTCTCCACCATTGGCAATCCAACAGCACGTGGCGGATGCCAGCTTGTTTCTTGTACAGGGGGCAGATTCTTTTGGCTCCTTTGGCTGCGGTGAAAAAGGAACCTTGTCAAACCGACCTAAGGACGGTGAGATGGTTGGGTCTGGTGCCCTGTGTCCTGAGGAGGCGCCT